TTGACTCTTCCACGTCCCTGAATGTTAGGTCGTGTGCGCTCCTACTGTCGACTCTAACGCGTGTTTCGAACACATCGTGCTCTTTGTCTTCTTCGTCTTTTTCTTCGTCTTCTTCGTCCTCATCGTGCTCAATTTCCAAGGCAATGAAAGCTCTTAGACAATCTTGCAGTTCTTTTTTCTTACTAATTGTTTTTAACCTTCGTTTCTTGAGTTCATCTTTCAACTTCGCAACTTTCATTGTTCCGATTCGCGTCAGCTTATCGTTAACAACGCACCTTTCTTCGACATCGACGATGGTATTATCCGCGTTTAATCCTTCGCTCATGTATAATGATTCAATATAATTTCACAATTACTACACGAATAGTTCTGTTAAATAGTTCGTTTTCTGTTTTATTCGATCCTGGCCCGAGCTCCCGGAATTATAGTGACTTATTTATTTGATATATTTATTTACAATGATGAAACAGGAAACTATGATTATTTAACCAAAGAGCTATTTCTTAATGTAGTAATGCAATACAACTAAAACTAAATTGGTACAACTAATCAACTTCTAAGCGATACTTCACAACTCACAACTCGCAACTAATAACTCACAACAATCGATAATCAACAACTCACGACCTACTCCAACTGACTAATTTTCTTCACCAAAACATCCTTTTATACCAGTTTTAATGCTCCGACCACGTACACGCGTTGATAACCCAAATTGGTCAAGTATGCCTTTTTTCAACTACCTATTCTCCTATAGGGCCACGAGCGTATTGCCATTGCGATTTCTCTCCTTTCCCTGCACTGTAGTTCATTGAGTTTCTTCTAAATGATTTTTCCACCATACAACGTATATGTCCACCACTGTAAGTTAGTATTGAGCCTGCCTTCACCACCCGAAAGTTAAGTATTAAATACGAATTCCATCAATGAACGAAACGCAGTAGACAATCTGTTAGCTGATTCACTCTCCATTCTCCGGAGAACGATTTTCAAAGCCGTGCATCGATCATCGATATGATATCGCGAATCCCTTAATCCGCTTACAATTAGCTGGATTTTCGCTGACGCGTAGTTGCCGGAAGGCGAGGGAGTTTCTGTCAGCGTTAATCGGTTGCCTTGGAGGCAAGAACGGAACCGAGGCGTCGATACGCGTCGAGCGCAATCTCAACCCTACGACAACGTCGACCAAGCATTATCGTCCACAGCAGATGTTCGCTCCTATTATTCTCCACGTCTGCATAATATATGAATCGTGGATGTTAATGACGACACATATCGATACTGCATTTGCGAGAATCAGTTCCGTGACGGTTCTGCATGGCGCCACGGCGTGTCGACGTTGTTTCAACGCTGGACGGCTTTCGATAGAATACTCCAGGATTTCGTTGTGTGTGTGTGTATATATGTGGAGGCGAACACCGTGGAAATCGGGTCACTTGACGGGGAATCTTGCAGATTTGCAATACTGCATCCTCGATCGAATAAGCGACTCGAGTATCGACTAACCCATTAATGGCCAACGCTGCGTTAACGCAGCATTTCAATTGCAATCTCTTCTCAGTGAACACATTATTAACAGCGTTGTTGTTGGGAACAATAACTTCAATCGAATCGAATCTTTTTAATTAATCTGCATGTTGGAGGATATATTGAAAAATTTATTTCGATTATAATTTTTTAAATTTAAGGATATACATTGCCCTATACATATTAAGATAATCTACTCGTTACAATTATTACAAAACTCTAACAAATTTTACCCTATCTAATATTTTATATTATAAAACATGTGATACGAGTAAATTAACAGATTTATAGTAAAACATGTAAAAGATAAAATCAATAAAAGGCATTCAATTGAAGTTAACATCATGATGTGTTTAAATCGGAATGCCAAATGGAATTTACAATTCTTCCAGTTTCAATAAACATCTGTTACAGTGGCACGTTTCCTTCTCGCATCCGACAAATTCTTTTAGAATTCCGTAAGGTAGAGCGGAACAAACTCCTTGTTAAATTTTCAAGTGTCGTACATACTAGATTTCGCGACTCGAATAACCAAACACATTCTTTATCGATAATTTAATGAAATTCGGCAGTTATCGGTTCGTCGCGAAATATATACCGTCACGGCATAACTGTGCAAACAATCGCAATCTGGGTCACTTGATTTCATATTCCCCGAGAAACTTGTAAAACGTTAGCGCGCACCCAAGGCGATGCAAATTTCACGCTGAAACTTCTTGTGTCTTTCTTATTGCCCGATAAGTTTATGCAAACGAGAGAGTAAACTGGCAGCAACAAAAATTTGACCAATACGCCGAACGAAATCGGAATAATACCTAGAAAGTTCTAGCCTCGATTCCGTAAGGATACAACGATATGGATCTATTTCGAAAAAGCTGTCAGTGTCTCCGTTTTACATTTTCTACATTGTACATTTTTTCACATAATATCATATAATAACATATATTCGATCATTACTTTATTCACACGTGATAGATTTATTTTATTCCATTATTATCGCAGTTCTATTATTCGAGTGCGCAATGCATAATCGTGCACGATAATGCATAATAATTGTTCGGTCCACATTACCCTGGGAAAGGGTTAACGAATGGGATCATTGTTCCTAGAGGACTTGGCCACAAAGTGGAGAACGTAAAGGAGCTTTCTGATAAGGGAACTGCGAGCAACAACACGGTACTTAGTCCGGAACCTTAGGTATTTACCCCAAAATCCCGCAATTGAATGCGAGTGATTTGGCTATTCCTTGCGACAAGAACTTTTTACGATCTCTAATATATCGTTGTAGATAGCGATAGAAATAGATTTCACAAAGAATTTAATTGCACTTGAAGAAAAATCGTAAAGATCGGTTCTTGCTATTCTATAATATTGATTTAATTTTTTTAGTATAATGAATCCATTATATATCCACATACAATAATTCAATGTATGCTATGAATTTATTTGTGCATCTTATATTAATTTTATTGTTGGGTTGAAAGATGAAAACGAAAAGTAGTGGTAAGAAACCGTTTTTATATTCTATAGTTAATTTTTAGTTTAACGGAGCTTTTCTCTCGCCAACTGCTATTCACCACCTGTGACTTAACATACACTCGAAAAAGTTGAAGATAATAGATATTTTAGAAGAATTCAATACAAAGGTCAAAGATATAAAAATACTTTACCTACTTTTAAGTATAATTTATGACAGTTATGAGTGTTGTAAATATTTCAATTTCCTCGAATATTATAAAATTGTAGAATTTATGTGAAAGAAGAAATGTCAGACAACTTCTCAGAATTCCCTTTCATAATTGCGATATTTAAAGTACAGAATTCAGTAATATAGATCGACTACAATAAAATTGCAGGTGGAATGAGTTAAATAGAAAAATAGTGCTTATTTCGTTTAAATAAAAAAGATACTCTCTTAATGAGTTCAATAAAAAACTAAAATAAAAATCAAGAAACTCTCGCGTGGACAGAGCACTCGATAAAACGCCAAAAACTAATCGCCTAAAGAATTTTCTAGAGGCACAACATTCAATACCATCTAGATAGGTTCCTGGGAAAACTACCAGTAGCGATATGCGGAAAAGTGGATCGACAAAGAGTGACAAGAAAAAAAAAATAGACAAAGTTCGCCATGCATAATACGAAGCTAGAGAAATGAAGGGTTCGAGGCATGAATCCGACTGCAAGAAACGTGGACGAATTTGTCGTTGTCCCGTGAATACGTCTGTCTAGCAAAGAGAACTTATTACTCAGTCGTAAGTATTAATCGCAAAAACGTTGCTTGTCGCAGAAACGTTCGCGCGCGTGTCCACGATAGCATTATTACGACGCAGCCAAGAAATTTCCCCCGTGTCACTGGAACATATTGCGTTTCCCAGACGCGCGAATGATGTATGATCCTAGAGGATGGGACAAGGAGTCGAATGAAAAGGAGAAGATCCGAAACTTCTCTCCAAAGAAAAGGGAACGTTTCAAGGGACGAGCCGTGTACAAGCTGCTACAAAACTGTTGGTCGATGGAGCAGAACATGGTAAGCAATGATAGAAGGGACGTTTCTTGATTAATAGATGCATCATCTTTTGACAAAAGATACTTGGACATGAAAATTTTGGGCATAAACGAAATATATATTAGCGATGTGAAAAATCTGTACATATGTTACGCGTCGTAATTATAAATAACATTTACATATGTCGGAGTCAGGTGACAACGAATTCAGGTTCGATAACTAATCCACGGTCCACGGGATGACGAGTGCCAACGTAATACACGATTCGGATAACTCTCTCGATAACTCAATCAGCAATTCGTCCAACGACTAACTAACTAACTAATTCGTAATCCAAATGAAACTGCCCTTATATATTCCTGTCCCTACTTCTCGGGTCAATCTCTGTTTTTAAGGAGAGCTATATAATCATTCCCTACCTGTGTCAGGTACACGTCCCTGACCGTGGCTACGTCCAGTGACCCGCTATGTCACTTCGAGCCCGAACCCATCGTCATAAAGCCAGATTGGAACATTACAACTATTTCTTATTTTTATTACTTCTGCCTAACTATAGTAAAAGTCAGGACTAGGGTATTGGGGTTTTTCCCAACATTCCAAACGGGAAATCCCGATGTTCTTTCATCTCCGACACATATATATAATTTCAATTTTAATGATAATTGATAATACACGATAACATTTCGATTTATAATTGCAACGCTCTTCTTAATATAATAAGAGCGTTGTTCATAGTGTTTTAGAGATACGATATCCTCCATTTCATATATTATCCTTATTTTATGTATTAAAGATTAAACATCCACAGTCCATGTGTCATATTTAAAAAAATATCGTTATACTTGCTTCCTGTGCGCACGCAAAATTAATTTTTGTATACAGAGACGATTAATGATAATCGTTTTTACAAAATGCTTAATCAACCGACAGTTATGAAACGCTCAATATAAGACAAGAAACTTACCCACGCAGGATTTGCCATCCGACGACAGAGCTTTCTCGTCCCCGTCGCAAGCGCAGAAGAAGCTTCCGTCTGTGTTCTCGCAAACTTCCATGCATCCACCATTGTCGACCGTACATTCATTGATATCTACACAAACAAATGCAGAATTATTTTACATTTTATGCATGAGAAGCAACAGAACACGAGCTACAACACAAGGGCGAAACTAAACGCTCGGAAAGTACGCGAATGGAATACCATTTCTTTTTCCATCTGCTCACGATCACGATTTAAAATTTTCAAAACCGACTGTGGCGTGCTCAGTTTACAGATGCGCTGCAATAAACGCACATAGAAGGCCTGAGTTTATACGATGGATCATATTATACACGGTGACGTGTTATTAACTGGAAGCCATTTGTTTCAACTAGATAGTAATTAATCGTTAGTTTACTGATGTGTGCATTGCCTGAGAATATTTTAATCGAGGTGGTGAGATACCACTGTTTGTGATTATCGTAAGCGTTTAGTAAAATCGAAAAGTACATTTTTAAGTTACTAAAAATTATTGATTTTTTGTATTTATATGATATTTTGAAGTTTGCATTTATTATTTAGTAAAAATACAATAGAGAAGCTTATAAGTCGATACCAACTAACTAAATCAAAATTGCAAATAGGGTAATATAAAAGATAATGGAATAATAGAAGATAGAATTTAGAAATTAGAAAATGGATTTAGAACTAATCATTGGTTATGATAGCAAATTCTATCAAAAACTTCCGACTCTTTACGACCGGTCTGATATCTTAACTTAAGAAATCTAATTCCATAAACGCGTAACGGAAGAGCCGTCACTATATCGTTTGTAAAATTGAAAGAGAAATTTCTGACGATATGGAATACCACATTGGCCTGCGTTATTCTAGAAGTAACAAGCGTTTCCTCCCTATCGTGGTACCGACTGGTATCGATCGACATTCCGCAAAGTTCAAGTTTCACCACGCGAGTGTACTCGCGCCTGATAACGTGTCTGACCTTTCATCGTCTGGGTAGTCGAGGGAAAACGACGGAAGGCCCCTTTCATTCGCATACAACCACTCCTCGTGAATGTGTCTGCATTCTTTCGCTAGTCAACCACCGACCGGCCGGTCAATTGTCCACCCGGTGGCGTTAAATTGACCGAAATAGACGTACAAGGGTCGGCCAGATTGCGATTGCCTCGAGCGCTTTCAATGACCGCCAAGAGTGCTCGACTTCCGTCCCTTTCACGACCTACGGTCGCGATATGCTATACTACAAGAACTATCCGCGTGATAATGACGCGCCGACAAAATGAACAAGCAATGAAACGTCCCTTCTCGTCCACCTTATCTGGATCCTCGGATAACTCTGTGGCGAATCGATACAATACCCCGTGATTTTGTCCCATAGGATTTCTATTGTTGGCTGTGCGCATTCTTGCTGCGAGCTGATATCTCTTGAATGTGAAAAGAATATATGAGAGGATTTAGTTTAATATTAGAAATATGAATTTGGTGCAAGAAATGAGGAGTTAGATTCGTTAGATCGGTGCATGTAAGATATTGTCTTTTGAAACTAACATATTGTTATCTCTCTCACATTATTATAATTAATAAATGACGTAGTATAAAATGAAGTACATAAATCATTTTAAAAAGTGATAATTCCGTTGCTTTTAAAGGTTGTGAGGCATCTATTCACAGACAGTTTTGGTAAATAATAACTAAACTGTAATTAAAAAATGGATACATTTGTTTCAAAAGGATGCAAGATTTATTAACTTTCCAAGATTCAAATGTTTTCAGCACCTTGTTCGGTGTATCTGTCTTCTTTGAAGCCACGTAAATTTTAACTGGCTCGTTTCTTTCACAGAGATAAGCATGCACGTGTACATATCAAGGCGCAAAAATAGCGAGCTATAATTAATCTTCGTCGTAAGAAATTTCAATGCAGTTTTCTAGTCAAGTCTGAAACAATTTGTAACGCTTCACGTTATGCGTTATTCATTGTGGAACTTGGAGGCAAATCTGAGAACTCTCGGCTGAGCTAGACAGCTTTTTATACTACTTCATGAGACCCGTGTGCGCATATGGTAGACATCGATCCAACACAGCCATATAGCAGTTGACGGAAGAAAATGTATTGGAGAACGGAAATCGCTATTACATAACTCCATTGCTCGATATTGTCTAACGATAAGAATATCTCATACAGTTTCTGCATATTTCATTTCATATTTCATTTTTGCACTTCGTCTCATAACTATAGAACTACTTTAAAACGTTCAAATTTTATATATTACATTTTTATATATTTTCGTATGTTATTTTTATATACCGATAAAACCTAAATATATCATGTTTAAAATCGTATTAAACACTTCCATCTTTTTTAATGATATTCATAAAAGTATGAATTTGCATAAATATTTACAGTCCACTCACGACTATAGAATCGGCGTAACAATATACGTTTTTATACAAAACCTAATGTCAGGGTGTAATAAAATAAAATTGTAACAGTATCTTTTGCAAGTTTAACTTACCTCATCGTCAATATCATTGAAACCTTATATACTCTGATTCACATCTTTCGAATGCAACACCTCGAACAAAAATGAGCGAATAAATAATTTGAAATTACACACCTACATGCATTGTTCATTTATATTACAGTCACAAAAGGCACAGAAAATTATATAGTAAGTAGCATTAAGCTAGTAACTCTTTGATTTGGCACACGTGCTTTCGACATTGATGGCGAACGACCATTAGTCACTAGAGGCTATTATCCACCAACTAATCTAAAAGTCAAAATGCAGAGTATCATGTACACAATGACACCTGTGTATATACGAAATACAAAAATTTTATACGGTTTTAAATTTCATCGGAATTGTGCACAGATCATTTTATTCCTGTAATAGTTTCTGTCTTCAAATTAAAATCTACTTTTCAACGTTTTCATCTTTTCTCTGTTAGCTTTGTTCTCAACTCATTTTTTTCATTGTTTCATTGTTGGTAGTTACTAGTATATTAATTAACAGCATGTTGTATTAGCTGTCAATAATAAGAATATGTTACGTTACCACACGATAAGTTATCGCAAGCTTATTGAAACAATTAGCAACGATAATAGTAACACACGATACATGCGTAACAAACACATTTACATATGTAAATTATGTTTGAATTACTTAGTTATTCTTACGAAATTAGAGTTTAATAAAAAGAAATGTAGTTCAATAAAATCAGTATTTTGCAACTAAAGGTATGAAAATAATAATGTACAATATAATAATATATAGTATTGTTTACATAATATAATCAAATTCATTGTTTATATTTTCATATTCCATTACAATTCATAATTATAAATTACAGATATACAAATACATTTATTTCAATTTTAACTAGAAGAACACTTTCTTTTCCAGAGAACTAGATTATTCATAGAGAAAAACACGCACCGCACTCCTGTTTGTTTTTCGTTCGCAGTAATTTTTTTACTGTGATTTATGTTTCAGTTTATCAAATATTCCGCGACATATTTGCAGGTATAATGCTTCATTTAATTGCAGAGTACTAATTACGTTATGCTGTGACTCGCTGTTTGGACAAATATAAAATTCCGTTTGTTGTTGCATGGTGAATGCACAACTCATCGTATTTATAGATGACAAATATATTCGACTAGTTACCGAATCGTGAGCATATTCTGATACGTTCAATCAATTGGACTGTACAATTCATTTACATAATTCAGCAACTGGAAAATTTAAAACATAAATTTCAACAAACCGTCCGTCACATACAATAACGGTCTTACCGTAAAACAAAAAAAAAAATAAAATAAGATAAAATGAAAAAAGAAACTAAGCTCGATAACTAATCAACATAATCGAATATATATAATCGTACGACTACATGTATATTTCCGAATTGATCGCAAACTTTATCAATATCATCTCGATAGTCGAATCTCGTGACAGTGTCAATAAAATTTAAAAACGTTTCCTATAACGTGCAGAATATGTTCATAAAATTATCATAAGCTACAAGTGTTCGAACACTTTTGTGAGCCTGCGTATGCCTTATATAATATTGTTTTCTTAGTTAAATTTGTAGAATACACCTAGGCCCGACCGATTTTTTTAGCCGATAAAAATCCGACACCCTTGGCCCGCTCCGTGCGATGAGATAAGGTGTGGATACAGAGTGGTTGGTAACTGGTGGTACAAGCGGAAAGGGGGTGATTCTACGCGAAAAAAGAAGTCGAAGATATAGAAAAGAAATTTTTTTTTTTAATTTTCTTTTTCTTTTTTAAATTTTTCCATCCAGACAACGATCTACAGTGAGACCCGTTATAACGAGACGTGATAAAGTGCACGCGTACCGAGCGAATATTCAAAGTCGATTTTCTCGAAAACAAAGCCTCAAACGAAAAATATTTATTCTATATTTTCGACTTCTTTTTTCGCCTAGAATCACCCTCTTTCCGCTTGTGCCAAACGAAAAATTTTTATTCTATATTTTCGACTTCTTTTTTCGCCTAGAGTCACCCCCTTTCCGCTTGTACTACCAGTAACCAACCACCCTGTATATTAAATAATATATAAACATAAAAATAAAATAACAATAAAAATATTTAACGTAACAGGATATTGAATATAAAAATTACATAATGAAAGAGGACAAGGTACATTCAAATGCTCATAATCACTCGTTGCCTCTTAAAATTGTCACAATTTTTCCAATGTTGTTCCTAATACGTTTCCAAACCTTTGTTACATAATGAAAGAGGACAAGGTACATTCAAATGCTCATAATCACTCATTGCCTCTTAAAATCGTCACAATTTTTCCAATGTTGTTCCTAATACCTTTGATATACCTTCCTTGTTCTTCTCATTCAACATTTGATAGAATCGAGATTTACTTGCCATTACAGTCACTTGCCTTACTTTCACGATCTTCTTATATTTTGCTTAATCGAGATTTACTTGCCATTACAGTCACTTGCCTTACTTTCACGATCTTTTTATATTTTGCAGCGCTGTCAGGTAATTCCAGCACGTCGAAGCATTGAAAAGTTCGGGACCCCCGATCCGAAACTTTTCTGGTTCTACAATCCCGGCTACGAACTTGTCCCAGTAATTCAGTTTTCTGACGAAAGAGTGGAAGGGAGTGGAAATTTCAAGCAGCAATGGAGGGACGTTTCACGGCGTAGACCAGAGGCGTGTGCTCGATTAAAGAACGGATCAAAGTAAAGGGGCAAAAGAGAGAGCCTTTGAAAGGAACCTTTCGCTACCAACCGGAGAAGGTTCGTTTCAAACGGAACGAACAACAAGAACAGCAATTATAGACTTTTTCATCTGAGTCTCCCAAGGAGAAAAAATGCACACTTCCTTAAAGATTTTGTACAAAATGCTCAAAACGAAACGTTCGTTCTGTATATCTGATAGAAGCCACGCGTTTGTAAATCACCTTTTCCTTTTTATTATCGAGAAAGTTTGAAAACCTCGAAAGATTGAAAATATTTGAAAGTTCACTACGTACCGCTCAAAAGTATATTAGTTTTGATGACGTGTAGGTAACCTTTAATTATGATATTATGTGTACATCAAACTTATGATCATTGTAACTACGTATAATTACATATTATGATCAAATTGATTTTTGTGAGTCAACATGCGATAATGATGTTGGTGTTTATAATAGTCAAACTTTATATTATTATTTTGTTACTTGACAAACTCTGTATCTTTCATCCATATGAAAGTGTGCAAATAATTATATGCGGCAATACGCATGGAAAATGAAACATAAGAAAAATCATTTTCTTGCCACGCCAGAGAAAAAGATTCTCTACAATCTACAATCCCAGCAAAAGTTTTAGATTTCTTAAAATTCTTAAAATTGTCAAACGTTCCCGAATAAAGTATAATAAAACTGATTTAATGTGTAATTTAAAGTGATTTTTGACTCCAGATGTTTTAATTAATATTATAATATTGTGCTTATATCAATGAAAATAATTTGAATTTCTCAAAATGGATCAACATTTCAATTTAATTACGCGATCATCGTTGTTATACTAGCGTAACAATGATCATTAATTAATCCATAACATCAGTTAACAAACAAACTATTCCAAGGAACATTTGGTCAATCAAACCACATAGAATCTTGTAAACTAATTCAAATTAGCTTTTATTTTTAAATCAATGCAATATGTAGCTAATTTTTTGTAGATAATGTAATGTATGCATTATGAATATGTTAAGCAAATAATGTTATACGTTCCTATTTAGGTTTCCACTTAAATAAAAATAAACGGAAATGAATCAACTTTACTATTCATCGGAAAAACGTTAAATCCAACTCGATTGACTGAAATATATCCAAATTATTGTTTGCCAACACATGAATAAAAACTCTAGATGTATGAAACTCGCATTAATTACTCCCGTTCTGGCTCTACTCTATCACAAGAACATAATACAGCGCTCAACTTCACAAACGCGCGCAAGATCCATCGTCATAAGAGAAATCGCATTGACTGAAACCAGGTACCTGGCCGGTGTTCGAGATGAGTTGAATTATTCATGCTAAAAGCCACTTACTTTACATATTTGATCAGTGCATGGCGGGCAAGGGGTGCCGGCACGAACGTCCCGTTTATGCATGATAAATCCCCTCTCGTATCTTCCTCGTACGCCACGGTGCTGCTCATCGTTTCCGTGCTCTTCTTTCCGCCCAACCTATCGAACTCTACTCCGTCGATTATGGGTTTCCCATGAAAATGCGATCCGCCAGTTTTCCTATGCTCGATTGCGTCCCGCCTGGGTACCATCGATAACTTCAAGCTCGACGTCATATAAGCGTTGTAATCCTTCAAGGTCCTCGCCAGCACCTCGTTCTCCAAATCCAAAATAGGTAAATCCTCTTCCGTCCGTGAATAACCTAACATTTTATCGGCGTCGTACCTCGAGTTGCCAAACTTCGACTCGTTCGTATTTGTAGAACCATCCTCTTTATGTTCTGTATTCTTGTGAGAGGATTTCGGCACGGAACTACCCAGGATACGGTTCTCCAAGCTGGCAGGGTCTTCCATCTGCGTCCGCGAGATCTCTTTTTCAAGCTGCTTCGAGAATTCCCTTTCGACGGTGTCTTCGTACATCTTGTAACGCGATGTGGTGTGCGTGGACCGTTTCGTGGCCTCGGTAGTTAATTGATCCTGAAGATTGAACGGCGAGGTAACGTCAGAAGCATTCGAGAGATTCTGGTTACCTCTCCCGGTCACGTTCGAGGAGTCGTAGCCGGAAACATTGTCCTCCGCCACGTGACCATCGATCTTGCCAAGCAGTAGCGCGGCGGGCACATCGTTCATTCTTCTTTTGAACTTGGACGTTCTACGCGCCTCGTTTTTCTCTCCGTTCTGCTTGGACCTCTTCCTTCCACGCTTTCGTTCGCGATTTTTTCTCCTCCTCCGACGCTCGACGCGATACCTCCTCGCAGCGGTATCCTTCGATTTTTTCGTTTGACCACCTCGTTTCCCCCTGATCTCGTTCTCGTACACCTCCTGCGTGTTCTCACGCTGTCGATCCACGTCGGAGTTCTTCGAATCTTTGTTTCTACGCCTTTTCTTACGGGATCTGTCGTTGATATCCCCCTTTCGACGGGTGATAGACGTTGATGCTGCTGAAACCAGGGATTTTATGTGAAAATACGATGTAAACGCGTGAAATGGAGCTGACAACTTTGTTTTTGCTAATATCTGGTTAGTTTTTTTACATGGATAGCTATGGATAGATAGCTTGGATTTAGTCGTTTCGGTTTAAAATTGTTTTAAATCTTTTGATAATTAGACTATGGATATTCATGCATTTATGGAAAATTTGAAAATATAAAGATGTATACAAAAACGTATAAAATGATATATAATATATAAAAAAATATAAAAACAGCCATTCAGAAATTTGGATGAAATAAATCACGAGTTAGAATCAGTATGTTTGTTTGTGTTCTTAAAAACATGAATTTGTATCAATGCTCACGTTTTATTGATAACAAATTTTATGACTGTTTTTATGCTATTTTTAATTCTCTTTAAAACGCAGCAGTTGTGCACGTATAAGCGGATTATTTTTGCAATAGTGTAAGTTTAACCGCTTAAATATAGAAACATAAATTACGAAATAAATAGCATGCAAAGTAGACTATCTTTGGATTAAATGGCAGCACATTGAATGTCACCATAAACTGCTATACTATAAAAATTATTTTCCATGCAGGATAATTTGGAAGACAGCCAACGATGCGTTTGTCACGCACTGATTAGTATATTTCTTCCCTGCTTAAAGTAGGCACTATCTTCCCTATGGCCACTCAGCCATCACACACTCGTCCATTTTTTCATCCACGGTACCCCACAATTTGTTCCTATTTCCATAACAACCCCCACAATTTGTTCCTATTTCCATAACAACCTTTTGAGAATAGCTGTTTCTAATTTTCTAAAGATACCATACACTTTTCTCCAATTTTTATTTCTCTATCTACGCTTTCCTTAACATATTCGCTTGGACCAACAATAATCCCCAAGGAGTCGTTACTGCCGTCTCGAGATTTAGTCTTTATTAGCACTCATTCCATCTGCCCGCCATAAGGTTTAGTGTTTTCCGTCAACTTCCTTATTTTTACGATGTATTATTTAAGTCGAGGCGCTGCTTGATTTTATTAACGGTAATGATTAAATAAACATTGGGACACGCGGCATTTCCACGTGCGTCACTCGAGGATATGCTCCGTATCTGCGAGTGACCTTCAGTTTGGCGGCAGTCAATTCTCACTTTTCCTATCAATTTCCAACCAATTAGCAGCAATGACCGTTGCCCTTATTTCCTCGTCGAAAATTGCAATTGACGGATCCGCTTGACCCATGCTTTACGCACATCGTCTTTTCCACATGCGTCACCGATACTTCGATTGTCAGCTCTCCGCACAAGACACACAGAAAAACGACACTGATCCGCTTACACTTAGCATTCATCCGCAACATTCAGTCTTCAGTCTTAGAAGGTGTTTGCGAAATATATAGCTATGTGTAAATTGTAAAATCCCGTGTCAGATTCTATCTAAATATCCCTATCGTCGTAATCGAAGCAGGGAATCGGCTAATTCGTGGTGTCGATACTAATCAAAACGAGAATTAACGATTCTCGTTGACGAGTCGCACTGCAGACGCGCCTCCCCGCGAACATAATCGAGCACACTAATTTATGTATGCTCCGACGTAAACTCTGTCGTTTGCTATGCAGTAAATTGAAACAATTTCTGTTAGCAATCAAATAATATTTAATTTCTCCGATGACGTTTATTAATAGTGATCTGCCTAATCGATTTTTATCAACAATATACATATATGTAACACAATGCATATTGGTTTCTATCCGTAGCAATTATTTATTTATTTAGACGTTCTCATTAAAAGACTAATTTGATGTAATTACTCGGATGATAACAATCTATATAAGTAAACAGATAAAACAAATAGGTATATAAAATAAAATTGAAATTCTGATTTATGATATAAAATTAGTCATAAAAAAACTTTAATTAAAGAAATTTAATATTATATATGTAGAAAAATGCAGAAATTTCAATTATGCGACGTTTCAATTAAAAACTAAATAATAATCATAATAAATATCTATAACCAATCTATATTGTTTGTAATACTTATTGACAAAATTTCGCTTCTATTCTATCGTTTAACTCTTCTATAAAGAATTTTAGACAAAATTACAACTGTTAAAATTTTTAAAACAAACCAATCTCTTCTAAAAATGATAAAACTCAACTTATTACTTCAACTAAGATGCTAATAACCTATTTATTATGTAGTAATTCATGGCAACTATAAATGATTAATTATAAAACATATTTAATTTCTCATCCTGTTTAGATACAATTTCAAGCACATAAATTATTCTAATGCATTACAATATGTCAAAACTACAGAAACAATAAATGCTTTAATTCGAATCAATACTGCGTTCATAATAAATTATCAACACAATCCTCTGTAATAATTCTTTGAAACCAATGAAAGCAGCCTTTGAGGAGTGGAAACAAATGAAGCTGTAAAGCTTTATTTCCACTTTTCATTTACAACATATAAGTTACACGATCATACCTGGGGCTCTTTCGGACCGATTTAAAAAGTAAACATTTTTACTCACTGACATTCAAACCCTGCCGAAGCGAGGAGTTGGAAGCATCTTCTGGTGGAACGAGGACCTTGTCCCTATTTCCGTCAGCCCGAGGCGCTGTTTCCGCTTCCGTCTCCGGCACCTCTGCCGCGTTTCGAGACGAGAGGGAGCTCCCGTCCTCATCGAGCGCCTTTTTACCCTCGAGAGACGCATCCCAGCTAATGGACAACATAGCCAACCGTTATTCCTCTCTTTCTTTCTCGACAAAATGAAATGAAACCATACCTGGCAATATAGGCCCCTTCTCCCTTTCGCGTGTATAATGTTCTGTATCTTTTTAAGTTTTAATCTCTTTTAATGTTCCTATTGTAAACGGGTGGGATTTTGTAGGAGTTGAAAGTATCTGAATTAAAGAATTAAAGAAGTAATAGGTACACATCTGTCTTCCTGTGAAATTGTTCGAAAATTCTGAATTTCACGATTCGACACCTTTGAGAAGGTAGTGAATGTGTTAAACGAATCTGATCCTATTAAATATACAAAAATCTCCGTTTCAATAACGTTCCAACAACGAGGACCAGGCGGTCTGATTGCATGCATAATTTCATAGGAAGCCGCGAAGCGTACTCAAAGAGTCTCAGCCATCCCAACTATCGTAATAACGACAAACGAGGGAAACTGTAACCATGGTCGTTAAACATTCCAACACTTGTAAATGAAAATACCGCGAAAAGCTGGGATTCCTTTAGAAACGAAGACGCGTGCACCGCCTCACGAGAACCTGGAGCACGATTTCATCCTCCCGGGACCCTTTAGCTTCGGTAATTATAAGTCGTGCTAGTGTGTAATTGAGACAGGCGTTAGGTGGTGTGCGCGCTTTAACCGGGTTTCCATGACTGCGGTTCGACTGTGTTACGTATCAATTAGAAAGTTCGAGTGTGTAATACCACCGTAATACGACCGCCCTTATTTCGTGCGCCACCGTAATTATCGGTTCTCCAGAGTCCAACCGTTTGATCCTCGATGCCCACTCCGTGCACCGGAACTTGCGACTCTACTCCAACGACGATTTCCGCGACCATTCCATCGACTTTATTGAATTCGCCAAGAGGACTTGTTGCCCAGAAACAAGAAACGTGAGACACGTTCTTTCACTTTTCCTGCTCCTTTATTTTTTCTCTTTTTTCCTCTCTTTCTCCTTCGTCTTACTCCTTTTTAGGTACAGCAACTTATCAGTATCGACATTTGTAAGTTAGTTTTGCAGTTTGTGAAGAAGAGATAAGTCGATATATAAAGAGTATAGGCAGAGTACAGAATTGTTATACATATGTATTGTTATTACTGTATGTATGTACATGGTCTGTATTCATTAATATTTAATCATATGACAAACTTCTGATGATATTAATATATAATCGAAGCTTATGACTTTTATTAAATTACCAAAAATTAATTATAGCATAAAACGTATTCTACGTAGAATGTACAGAACTCTCAATGTAGATAATTAACAATTTTATAAATAGAAACAAGAAATGTTTGGGGAAGAGCAAGAGAATAGAAAGCGAAGAATAAAAAATGAATTCAATTCAAAAAGACACATTAGCATCAGCACGTTAATATGACATTTAGAGACAAATAGCCTGCTACTACCGTACTTGTGAAAGATTCGCCAAAGATGCCAAAGATCTATACCACGTGCGACCTTAAGAATACATCTGGAAAGAATGTCTAGATTCGTAATTATATACGGGCAACTGTAGGAAGTTACGAGGTCGAATTTTGAAATGGTAATCGACCCATCAGAGTATTGTTAGAGATTAATTTCATTATTCCAAAGTAGAAAGGATCTGGTTACAAAGTAGAAAGGACGACAATCTACCCTTTTGACAAGAAATTCTACATTTTTAGCAAACAATCACTGAAATATTTATAAATCTGAAAATATACCTACCAACAATATACTTAACATTGAATATAAAATTTAAATTATCTTGACAAATTTTGGCTATAATAAGGTTAATAGAGCTATAAAATAAAAAGGAATATATATTCTTAAAATATGTTATTTTAAGATCAATTGGAAAGTGGGTTCACTTAAAACAATTGACACTGCTCCACAAACATAACGATCGACCTTGATAATTAACGAGCCAATTCGTTCATTAACTCTGATGTCACAGGCACGCGTTACACATTCCAGAGGGAGATGGGGCAATTGCTTTCAAAATGTAATGAATCATCTTACATAAATCACTGCAAATTCTTATGCCGAAAAAACTTTTTTAAAAAAATATTCTTGTCATTGTTCAGCGATGTACAACCTCCGTGATTTATTTACATAAATTACTGCGAACTTTTACCGAGAAAAGCTTTCCTAGAAAAATATTTTCAGTAATTTTACAGCAAAAAGTGATGCTTTAAAAAATGATAATCTTTAAAAAAACATGGTCCTAAAAGTGTTCAAACTATCGCTCGTCAATTTACAAGCCCGATTGATGTCTGTTTCTATTTCCTCGAACACAAAGCTTTCGATAACCGACAACGTTCGATCGAAGGCATCAAATATGCATAAAGTACTTACACATACGACTGATCCGCATCGTCAGCCTGCAGTTCGTCGCGCAGATCGCCTATTTTCCTCGCATCATCCCTGCTATCCGGCTGTTCCCGTGGACCTGCGTTCTGGCAGCGTCCTGAAAACACAAAAATCGCATCGCATTCATTTCACGTCGAATATGAAACATTGTAATAAATCTAAAAACGACAGAAAAGCGCTACTGCAGAAAAAGAGAAACAGCAAAAAGTGTAAAGAGAAAGAGAGAGAAGCACACACGCGCGCGATACTGCTGCGTCCGTACTGAACGCGGAACGGAGGCGCGAGAGTTTCCATTTCCGGCTGGCGGGAAGTTTCACCTGGCCGAGGAGGGAAGTTTCCTCAATTCCAGGCCTTAGAACCTTTCTTTGGTTCTGCTCGCACTCCGCCCGAAAGTCAATAGGACCCTCGCTACTTTGAAATGCCAGGAGGAGTACTTGCATACGCCCCTCGCCGTACAACCGTTTGGAAAGTCAGCTTTTCAGTGCGATATTGAACTTTTTATCGCATCGAAAGGTTAAAGCGAAAGCCAGGCAGGAAACAAAGCGGCGGTTTGCAATAGTTGTTCTGCGTACAGGTAGTCGTAGAAATCGTTGACCGAGATGCGCATTTCACCGACTACCGTTGGAATTTGCTTACGAACCTTCTCCTATTTCGAAGGTTACGAGCATGGTTTGCTGATACGCGATAGCTTTAAACAAAGCTGGCATGAGTAATGTGAAAATCGGAAAACAATTTTGGACATAGTGAACTCCATACAAACGACGTAGCATCATCGACAATTTTAACGGTACAGCTACTAAATCAGTCAAAATATCGGGTTTCAGTATTCTTGTTTTCGTAATTACTAGAACGTAAGTACTTTTAACAAAATTAACGTTGAATTTTATCTTTACTTGTCTTCATCATTTCACTTTAATTATAATCATCTACTGTCCCTGGTCATTGATTCAGGACCACTCAAAAATTTTTTTTCCCTTTTTCACCTTTTGTAAACATAAAAAAACATAAACCAGAAAACATAATAAAAATCTTCAGTGATAGCAAGAATAACTCTCATTCGAACTAAACGTAAAGGAATAATTCAAATCTTAATGAAACGTTAGAAGATGTACAGACACAACAATTAATTATTCGAAATGTCAATCAACAATTATCATAGCTACAATCACATAAACTTTACAGATAGTATTGAATTGTGTCTTAATTTTGAAACCACAAATACCCAACCTAGCAAATTCTACAAATACATAACGCGATACGGAATAATACCAAAAATAGAAGGTCACACTCGCTAAGGACCATCAGTCGAGAGAACGCGCAAGGGAAGACTCGTGAGATCAATTCCAACAAAACCACGGACGCATGGGACTACGCTCGACATGACCCTGGACTCATTCGACCAAGACCAACATGATCCCGAACCTCAAACCCTCGACAGGACCTTATAAAATGAGTCAAGGTGCTATTGGTCGGGAATCATGTCAAGCTTGGTCCTATGGATGCGTGGTCATGTTAAACTTAAAGTGGAGCGCCCAAAACTGATATGTAAATTTACCATCTCTATATTGGATGATGTTTAGCAGTGGAAATCGATTGATACTTTCATTAGCCATTAACCTGTTCGCAATCACAGACGAGATTAGCAATAAACATGATATACAATGTTTACAAAAATTTATATTCGCATACCAGTATATTTATTATGATATTTATTATATTTACATATGAATTAATTAGATCCAAGTATAATTTATGTTATAATTCAAAAGTTAAAAAATTAAAAAATCTGGAGATAAAGAGTTTGTCCAGTAAGAAAATAATTCTATAATGTCTGACAATTACAAATGCCAGTTTTATTGTTACATAAACATCAATTTAATCAGTTTATAATATATGTATTACTATGTATAACTATGATCATTATAAGGAAGTTTAATTTATTATTTGCAATTTGTCTTATTTGCAGTTAAATAAGGATATTCATTTTATTATCAAAAATAGGTAAATATGCTATTGTGCTCCTCTTCCTATCTCTTAATAACTAAGTTTGCCATTGAATTCACAACGTGGTTTCACTCAACGAAAGACACAGATGTACTTTTATCTTTTATAATGATAGCATTAACGTTGACGGTTACATAATTTGGAACCCGTTAAATTGGCACAATTCTGGTGTCCCTTTTGTGTTCCTCGGTTTTAAGACTTGCTCTGTTATGCCGTTATCTTTTTCTACCTGGCTTCCTAAAAATTTACTGCGTTTCTGAATTGTTTTAAATTGAATGAAAAATATGAACGCTTTCGAAAGCTTTAATAACATATTGTTGATATTATATAGTTGCGTCATACAATTGAAATAAATCGCAGAATACTAAATTTATTAGATGCAATAGAGAAAAACATTTTTTCATTTTTGTGTATGTACGAAATATATATCTATAACGCTTTCTCTCTTTTTGTTGTATTAAATTGCATGCTTTGATATTATTGTATTTTATATACTACGTGCAACTCCATCAAATCATTTAAAATATGGATATTTCACGAAATATTTTCAACTTGCTGCTAATTTTTCAAAAAATATTTATAGAATATCTACAAAATATCTGTAACAATTTATTATATTATTTAATTTTTCTATGTCTCACATTTCTTTCTTCTTTTATTGACAACGGGAAGAGAATAATGACTTATCTCAAATGTATGTGTTGGTATTACTTGAACTTCCTTTTCATTAAATACATCGCATAAATCAGCTAACAGAACTGAGTGCATTTGGTATTTTAAATGATATTAAAACCGTAATAAAATATTGTATTAAATCGAAGAGTAAAAATTTAATTTTTTCTACTTAATCTGGCGCCCCAAAAACAAAAACCTAACTTGCCCATAGTACGATTTGATAGCACTCCTACGTCTTTGAACTAGTAAGTACGTAACGGAGAACGTCTGATAAAGTTATGAATTATGATGCATTGGCCTTCGAAGCTCGTCGAGGTCGTTCAACATGGGATAGGTCAGTTGCTAGCTCTAACTCATTCTAACGGGGGCCGCGTACCATTCCCGCTGCCAATTCTACGTGAAGCGGAAATATAATGACGTTGGTCTGATTCGGAACCTGAGGAGCACAGCTCCGTGCGCGGCAAACGTTACGAAACTGCTCAAAAGTAGATAAATCGAAGAAGCTGGTGAGAAATTTGCTACTGATACATTATAGGGATGCTATTAGGAAAAATGAAGAGCAATGAAAGCACGAATGATACATTTAGAACGTTTTAATGGACTCCGGTTTCTCTGAACATTTTGAATACAGTCATCAATGAGAATTATTTAATCCGACGTTACATTACGCTGATTTAGTTTTTAATTAGATTGAATTATTGAGATTAAATAAAAAGTTTTAGTTCGTAAATTAATAATTTTGTAAAATTACGGTAATTTTGATAGTCCGAATTAATAATTACATACGCTGTTCAATGAATCCCTATGCACTTATGACAAATTTTCAAGTACAAACATACATAGAATGCGCATAATATGCACAAATATATAAATATCCAAAGTGTAGTATTTATTGATTATGGGTAAAAATATAAATATCCATAAACATTCCCAATCTATTGAGGCAAATCTTCAAAAAAAGTTGAGGACACAAATGTATATATAATATATGTTAAGAAAAATTATTTCTTCGAGTTCTTCGAAATTTTTCTACGAAAACACACATTTACAACGTTTCTAACGAAAGGACATCAAAAGAAATTACGTATGTATGTTACCACGGCGAAGACATTGTGAAAGAAATAAAATGTGTCACGCCCCGTGGTACATCGAGAAATTCGTCTGAGATCATCGGTTTATATAAAACTCCATTGACAAAGCGGCGTTTATACACAAGTATCAGGTCAACGCGCGACGACCGCAATTTTAAGTTTCACACCCGAGCTCAGACGCTGTATTAAGCAAATCCATATTGGGGAAGTGATGAAATGCTCACTTCTTCGCATTTTGCACGTGGGAGTTAATGCCCGTATGCGGTGAAAGGAATCTCGACAAATATATGTTGTTTTACCTCGAAATAATTTCTAGCATATTTTCTTTATTTTATAACACGAAATAAATTTAATGCAGGGATTCCTTAATAATAAATTAATAATATTACCTTACAATTTTCTTTGTGAAGAATATCGATTCTGGAGGATAGTAAAATTTCATAATGAAGCATATACATGTTTTTAGATAATCTGATCGAGGTAGTCATTTCTTACGTTTAATATAACAGATATAACTATATTGATATTGGAGTATATTAGTATTGTATCGATGAAGATAGAATAATTTTATTTAGCTTCTATTTATTATTAGAATATTTTCTGCTTCAAATCTTTTTCGTAAGTTACTCGTTTAAAAAGCTTCTTTAAAAAGTTTCTTCTAATGTAAACTTTTAAAAAGCTTCTAACAAATAATTTTTCTTATTGATGAACTCAAATGATTTTCTATTTTAACATATTATTTTTAAAATTGCTTTTAAACGTGTCAGTCACTACTCAATAACTGAGAAACTTTCAGACATTAATGTATAATGCATTCGAAATACATACAAATCAAACTCTAAGCCAAAACTACGAGAGTAGACGAGAAGTCAAAGGAATGTTTCACAATTTTGAGAGACAGAGTAATAGTGAAGCGAATCGTATGCGGAATGGTGAACCAAACGTTTATTTACACATAAAAAGTTACCCTATTGCGCCGAGAAAGTTTGTAATTGATTTTGCAGAGCGTCGCTGACTCCAACGCTAAAACCTTCCAATCTTGAATTATTAAGCTTGAAAAATACCTAAGCATCGTGGGTAGATTTAAGCTCTTTTCCTTACTATTTCATTTACTATATCAATATTAAAATTGAAAAATATAGGTGCAATTATTAGACGTTATAAAACTATATCAAGATACATGAACAAATATACATATGTTGTTCATTATTGAAAGCGTATTATCAAAATCCTCCGATACTTTCCTCTCAGTCCACGTTCAACTAACACTACATACATCACTCGTGAAAACATAAAGGATAACTTCCAAAAGTTCCCAATTAATTGG